TGACAAATATGGAAATACTAATATATTATTAGTCATATTTTAAAATAGATATAGTTGACATTAATTTTATTAATCTCTAGTCATTAAAATTGGTTTAGGTTTCAAAGCCACCTGTAAAAGAAACACAGCATGTTTATATTAAGTAAAGAAAAACAAATTAAAAAATATTAGGAACACTAATTGTAAGCAAATCTAAAATTTACAATGCAATAATTGAACTAAAATCAAAAGTTAAAGGGCCAATTCTTCCAATCTAAATAGAAAATGAGGATAGCTTCCAATAGAAATGATATGGAAATGTTATGTTATGGTCCTATCTTCGTATGAATTGGTAGTACAAACTGGCAAAAAGCTATGTACTATGTACTATTAAGGCGTTTTACACATAAAACCTAACTTCACGTATGTGTTATCAATGAGACGTCAAAAAGATGCACTTATGATGAAATTGTTATTTTACGTTTGTGCGTTTTGTAGGTTAGGTTTTATGTGTGGAACGATTGATTGAACAGCAATTACATAACTTTTTGACACTTTTTACTGCGAATTCATACAAAGACAGGACCGTAATATAGCGTTGTCATAACATTTCTACTATATTAAGGTGACCATATTTTTTTAAGTCAAAACATGGACGACAATTTTTAGCTATGCTAAACCGGGAAAGAAATGCTTTTTAAGGAAACACCAAAAACCAGTTTTTTTATATGAATAATTTTTTTTTAATCGAACTGCGGACTTTTTGAAAGGACTTTGTTGTTCAATTATATGTAATAATCTTTTAACTATGTTTTATCTCTCTTTTACTCGCATTTGAGCCTTGTATAAAACTTTGCTCAATTTTGTTTATAATTAATTTGAAAAAATTAACACTTGTTCGTTTATTTTTGTAATTTATGTTAATTAACCTATTAATATTAAAAAAACGGGACATTCCGGGACAAAAGATCTAAATCCGGGACAAATATTGCTTTTAGAAAAACCCGGGACAAAAGGTGTAAATCCGGGACACAAGGTGGAAATCCGGGACAGTCCTGGCCAATGGTGACCTTAATTGTATTGGAAAATTGGTTCCTAAATCATAAAAATTATGTGAAATTAATATATATATATATATTTGAAATAAGTACCATATATTAATGATAATGCATAAGCATATGGATGCTATTTTCACAAATTACTCTATATTTTTGCAATAAACAAACTTTGTTTCTTGTGATAGAATTTTCAGTTGAAGTGCATATTCGAAACACAGGTTTATATCATATGTGATGCAATTTAAAATATTCAAGTTTATTCCCACTTCATGTCAATTATTAAAAATTTTAAATATTTAAATTAAAGTATTTCTTTATATAACGTACAAATACATTTTTATAATATTTTCAATAAAAACAACATAACTGATTTTAGCTTACAATGACAAAAAACAGGGGTCACTATTACTGATTCCATTCTTATTCAAATGAACAGTTTGCTAGTAATAATTAGTTCATTTGACATCGGTACGGACGGTTTTTCAGACCAAAACAAAAAAGTTAACCATGCGGCTCCAATTAAAATTGGTCAAAGGGTTAATTCGCATTAATACTTCTCAACAAACGGCGAAGGTAGCCTATAATCACCGGTTAGTGTTATGACGAGGGATCATATTCGAATCACGATCGCTCGCTCAGAGTATTTAAAAAATATTCGCGTGATCCAACGACGAAAGAAAATGCTGATCGTACACACGTGATATACAGATAACCCATCATTTCATTTGAAAATGAATCATTGGAATGCTGCAGCAATGTTTTTGTGCCAGTTAAATGTACCAGACAACTAAGAGCCCGATTCAAATTTTTCACTTAAACCGCACATTAACAGCAATCGCGATATATTTTAAGGCATTCATTTTGCAAACGATGGTATGTGGATAATAATTAAATAATTAATGTGAATAGGGCTTTTAATCACTGCTAAGACTACCTTGTTACTATATGAAAACTAATAGATCCGCAGTGTAGGGAAGACTGTGTACGGTTGTGCCAGGGTGCAGTAGTGACAGTCGTTATAACAACTAAACTATACTGTTTTGTGAAAGTTTTCAAGGGGCGTATGATGTAGTATGTTTTTTTGAACAAGTTTCCATTATTGCTTTTAGTCAGCGCCTGACATCAACATGATCTATAGACCGCATTGCATTTAAAAAAGAAACAGAAGTACATTTTTTCGTTCGGTTTCTTTTAATAATAACTGTTACACTTATACAGATAGATCACTTTGTTGTTATTTTGATGTAAGTTAAACATTAGTAGTCAATTACCAAGAATAAGTTTTTGTATAGATTACTTAGGTCAGTCATAACGATGATTTATTTTCAAAAGTGTGCGTTAGGTGGGTACCTTTGTGACAAATATTATAGGTATGGTTGTGACATGTATTTTTTCCCTTTTCTGATAAAATTTAATAAGTAAAAAAAATAACTTAACTAAGACAAAATGATAAAGAGAAAGGTAAAGAAAAATTCAAAATAAGATAAAAAAAATCAGAATGATTTCTTACTAACTTTGTTTAAAAAATATGTTTTGTTATATATTGCTATATTATATTCATTAGCTTTGTTTAAATGGTTATGACGTGTTGTGATATATATTTCTGACAATAAAAGTCGTTATAAGCCATTTTGATGTTTAAGTCTATTGTTTTGTAACATATTTTTATGTCTGTCACAATCGTTCCTGGGGATGTGGAAGGTTGTAAAACTCGCCCTTTTTTGTATGATTTGATTTTGTGGCTCATCCATCGTATTTAGTATTTCCACAAATTACAAATTACCACTTAATTTATATTTCTTTCAGCTATCTAACTGGTAAATTAACAAAATTATGGCTGACCAAAAAAACGGTGGCACAACCGTACTCAGTCTCCGCTACTATATAATAAAAAATATCAATAATAAATCTAAACATTTATTAATATCTACAGTGGTATTTTGTAAGCAAATATATAACTGATACTATGGTTGAAAATTTATAACGTTATCAATATATATACTCGTATATATATATATATATATATATATATATATATATATATATATCAACATACAATATACGAGCATATTTTTACAAATTATTATGTTTTTCATAATAATTATTAACTAATAACATATTTCAGATTTTGACCCTGAGATCTTTATCACTATTATTGGATTGTAATTATTCATATCTTTATGCACATTACATAACAGAATGTTTTATATAGACCAATATTTTTATAATACTGAATAAGGTGACCCCTTTATATATACATCATATATGCATATACATAATCAATTTTACTTTTTGCTATAACTTATTTTGATTTTTTTAAATTGTGCTCTATTAAGACTAAATAAAATCATTAATTGTTATTGGCGAAGCAAGCTTTAAACAACGCTACAAGTGAAAACATCCAGATTAAATATAAGAAAAATAATAACTCAATAACACAGTCACATGTAGTGACTTGACATATGTAACGTCAAAAAATTTGTCAATAATGTCATATTACTTATACACTATATTACCGATCTTAAATGAGCAGAAGTTTTGCTTAAGACGTTGTTGTACTTCCGAAGAACAAACGCCAAATATAAAATGAATGAAATTTACAAAATAGCTGACATTTGGATACATCGACAGATTTTGGTAATTATTAAAAAATATTAACAATAGAGTCGCGTATGTAATGTTTGAATCTCTTATAATAAGGTGACCATATTTTTTTTAAGTCAAATCCGGGACGGCAATTTTTAGTTATGCTAATCCGGGACGTTGGGGGGGGGGGAGGGGGGTGTTGTTCGTTTATATAACAAATGCTATACAAGGATACAATGAAAAAACAGTTTTTTTAAATAAATTTTTTTTATCATAATTGCGGACTTTTAGTAAGCTTAAGCTTATACTTCGACTTTTATATGCAATACTTCTTTACCTATGACATTATATCTTGTATTTTTCGATTTATATAAGTTCCATTCAATTTTCTTTATAATTGATTTGAAAAAAATAGCAACTGTTAGTTTGTTTTCTTAATTTTTGTTAATTTAACTATTCAATTTCGAAAAACCGGGACATCCGGGACAAAAAATCAAAATCCGGGACAAATATTGTTTTAAGAAAAACCCGGGACACAAGGTGGAAATCCGGGACTGTCTCGGCCAATCCGGGACGTATGGTCACCTTACTTATAAACACAGAGAAACGTAGAAAATGAAAAAATATTAGCATTGCATTAGAGTTATAAATATTGTATGTAATGAATTATAAAACTAAACAATATTTTTTACAGCGATTTTCAGATAAAATCTATATTTTAAAATTTTTGCAAAAATAAAGTTTATTTTGAAAAAGTTACGTTCAAATTTTTCATGCCAAGATACCGCAAACTGCAGGTAAATCTTCTTTAAAATTTTAACAGGTAAGTATAAATCTAAATAATATATAGAATTTAATTTCTTTAACCCATTTAGAAACTTTGTAGACACAAAAGTTGGCACATGAAACCACGGGCGTAGCTAGGGTCCGTTGCACCCACCTAAAAAATCATCCTAGTAAAGTTTGTTCCCATACTAATACCCTGGCTACGCCCATGCATAAATACTCATATATGCAATATTAATGAATCACTAGTAGTGTGTTTAAATTGTAGATAAGCTCTTTTCAAAATTATGCAAAGTGCGCGTGTTTCTAATAATTTACTGACTCACTTATGTTAGATACTATTTATTAAAAATAATTTTTAGTTAATACAAATCTATTTGCTACAACAGAACGCTAACTATATACACGTCTTCTGTGAATTGCATACTATATATCAGTTACATGTAGAGCATATTATCAATAATCAGATTTTTCAACAAAATATTGGTCCCATATTGTACGTGATATACTATTATTGCATATGTGAGCACATTAAGCTACTGCAGGAACAAACGGACTTCAACGCGCCCAATCTATGCCTGGTGAACTTTCATATTCCTGGTAATTTCCTCTGATCGGAGGTCATGGATGTAACTGCTGCCGAGGAAATACGGACACGTACGACACACGCGGCGGATTCTTCTCGATCACTGGACGAAAGCTGGTTCCTGATATCATGAATAGTTTTTTTTTACGAAATCAACGTATATATATTGCAAAGTGCAAATAAGCAACAAAGTGATCGAGTAATATAATTGCTACCGGAATTCCAATATTGATTACAAAAAATATTTTGCCTTTAATTAATAGAAATGCATTACCTTTATACGTGCGTTTATCTTATTTCTACTTTATACCGAATATAAAATAAATATACGCAAACTTTCATATCAACTATTGTTAGAAATTATATTATAATATGTGCGTGCAAATAAAAAAATAAAATTAATTTTACCTATTGTAACTCTTCTTAAAGGCCTTTCTTTGAGTGGAGGGTCGTAGTCTGCACCATAATTGTATCCAGGCTGAACCACTGCTGGTTTGACCTGCTGCACATTATTACGTTTTTTGCGCTTGTGATAGAAAATTTCTCCTGCTAAAGTGATCATTGCCAATACCAAACCAAATATTGTTGCTATAAAAACGCCACCTAAAAGGTAATCATTATAATTACACAACATACTTAATTTATGGATAATTTTGCAAATAATCAAATACTTAAGAAGATACTCGTTTATTAAATATAATGTATGCGTTATGAATATTAAAGAAATGGTTGTATTTATTAAATGAAAGTTTTAGCTTTTGATATTAACTTTTTTTTGAAAATTTAGAAAAGAAAATTTTAGGTATAACTCAGCGACAAATGAATTAAAAGTGAAAAATTGTGTCATTTTTTATTGAAAATTCGACGCTCTGCAAATTTTTTGAAGTTTTTTTCATGCTATTTCCATTGATTGAATTGCGCACTATCTAAAAGGCAATATTAAGAGCTAAAACTTTCAAAAAATTGTTTTTTATCAATTTGAAACCATTTGAGCCCTTGGAAGCAAGGAAATTCAAAAATGTACATATTAAGGACCACCCTGATGCATATAATATATATATATATATATATATATATATATATATATATATGTATATATATATATATACATATTAATAAATATGTCTCTATACACATTTATTATGCAAATCATTCTCAATGAGTTCATAATTCACCATCAACTCACGTATGCAAATAACGAAAAAGCTAGTTTTTACTATACCGATATACTGGTCTAAAATTAGACATTTGCTTACTTACATATTTTTATAATTATTTATTTCTTAAAGAAAATTTTGATAAAGTTGTGATCTCGCAACATGCATAAAATTTCCAAATTTAATACAAAATATCTCGCTTTATCAATTAATGCCTTTCTGATAAATTAGCATGGTGAATTATCATTCTCAAGTTTTTGGTAGTTCAATAATGATCATAATATGTTATAAAAGTGCATTTAAGTAGACTCATTAAATTTACCAAGACTTTCTAGTGTGATGCCTTCGCTATCGTCTGTATTCGGACAAAGGCCTTTAGCAGATTGATTCCAATATTTATTAGACAACTGTTCAAAATATCTGTCTTTCTGAAGATCTAAAATTTTTCGGCTGATCTCATCTTGTAAATGGCTTCCTTGCTGAACAGCTACTGCATACGGTTGCTCAGCAAATATCTCTCCTACCTCGGTGAGATTACAATTCCGTGTTACTTCGTATCTAAAAATAAAAAAAACAAAAGAATAATGTTACTTTTTATCCAAAAATACCAAAATTTGCTCAATTATATAGCCATTAAATTATCATTTTTTGTAATATAAACAATTATTTTATAAAAAGTCACCTACAAATTATTTACTATTTGTATAATTATCTACTAATTATTTAATTTTTGTTATCTGAAATGAATAAAATATATAATAAATGATTGAGTGATGATTTTGCTAAAATACAAAAGTTACACAGATCAGGTATTTCGAAGTTGCAGTACGTGTTTGTACGTGATCGAAAACTTAAACAATTTATAGATAAAAGCATAATATTTTGGAACAGAGGCAGATTGATGCAAAAAATCTTTTGTAAAATTCATAAAAATATTTCAGTATTTCTGAAATTAGTTTAGATTCATATAGCTATGAACTTTTTGTCGCATATAATACTGGCCATAACTTCAGAATTCTTAAAATTTTGAATTTTAGCTCAAATCAAACTTCTAGATTTATTTAAAAAGTTAAATAATATCCAACAATAAAAACGTGTAGATTTAAAATATTTTATTATTTTCCGAATATTCATTGGCAAATTTTAGCAAATAGTTTGTGTTTTTTTGTATTAGATTTTACTGGATGTCAAATCCGGCTCGAAGGACCAATGTTTTTTCAATGGTTGTTTGATTGAATTTTGAAGGACCAATTTGTTGTAAACACTTTAATTTGTAACTTTATGTATTTATTTTATATTAATTACAAGTTATAACTATATTTACAATAATTTCAATGTTGTTTTTAATATCGTATTGATTGACTTGATTTTTTATATGATTTTGGATTAATAATATTTTGTTTCTTTTAATATAAATCGCACGCTTTGATATGGCGCGAACAGTTTGTGTATATAATTTCTACAACAAATTAATATGTATTTATTTTTGAAGTATGATTTAACTTTAAAGTAAATGTAATGAATGTGGTCTAGAAATTTCTTGTCCCGGATTCGATCCCAACCTTTGGCTAGCAGATTTTCACTTGAGATCATGGATGAGAATAGCCAATACCCTGTTGAGGGTAGCAACAAGGGGCATTGTTACAATATAACACACACACACACACACACACATATATATATATATATATATATATATATATATATATATTAATATAACCACCACACGTAAGAGAATGTTTAAATCGATGGGTTGCCTCTAATGACACATTAGGTAAGTCTTCAACAAAAAGTTTATAAGGCAAGTAGTTCTAAATATTTCTGATTACTGTTGAAATTAATAAATATAAAAAAATCAATTACAAACTTGAAATTAAATTCAATGAAAGTTACAAATTTCATTGAAAAAATATTGACTATTAAATATATAGAGAAATCTGTTTGCAAAAATATTTGAATGCTGTAACGTGAAAAATAATAATAGTTGTACGTAATTTATTTATTTATATTTATTAGTTCTCTTCAGTTCTAATCATATGTTACGTACAATGTTTTACAAATTTTGTTTTATTTTTTTTAAAACAAGTGGCAATGCGCTACTGCAAGTTAGTCAAGAGAAACAATGCATGATAAATCGCATCGCAAAGTAAAGCCCGGAGTTGTTTAATTCTATGCCGAGCGATTCGCAGTCGGAGGAATTTTACAATCAATTAAGTTAATGCAGCGCATAGAAAACTGTACAGTACACGAGTGGAACGACATTGTTACTATAGTTCACTGTTTCCTCAAATAGGTATCGCTAATTTAAAACCAGGTGGGTGGGACGTCAGCTAAAAATTTCAAAATATGTTTACTTTTACTTGTATATCCTATCACGAGAGTAAAATTAATTAGTGTCGACCTATGTCAAGGATAATATATCCTACATTCACTACTAATTTAGAAAAATCTTAAAATATAGAAGACAATCTTAAAATTTAATTATAAATAAATATAATTTTTAACTTTCCGTAGGGTAAGCTACTGTAATAGTCCAAAAATCAGAAATGAAAATTTTGCATATTTCACGTTTCAAAGGTTTTTGAACATTTTGGCATACCTCAGAAAAAATGTGTGTGTGCGTGTATGTATGTGAGTGTGTATGTGTTTTGTGTTGATACAATTTTTTGTCTACGTTTTCAATTGATTTCAAATATTATAAAAACATTCGATTTCTACTAATGAGGAGACGTGCTGATTAGTGTTTGACAAAGATAAATCCAGCCGTTTCGAAGATAGGAAGCAACGAGTGCAGAAAATAAAAATCGAATTTTTAAAAGCATTCAATTCGTAATAATGGCGAGAAGTGGTGATTAGTTTTTGCCAAAGAGAGATCCAGTCGTTTTGGAGATAAGAAGCTAAATAAGCAAAAAAGTGTAATTTTTGAGAAGACGAAGCATCTCATTTGAATGATTCAAAAACTCTTTTGCTTTTTTGACGAAACGATTGTTTTTGGAGAAAGCGAAAACAATTTTTTTTATTTTTGAAAATCGAAAATAATACGGATTTTAATTTTAAT